ATATATATATATATATATGCATTGTGAAAATTGGATCTTCAGGAAATATGGAAGCAAAGAATTTCCTTCAATACACAAGCATAAACCATAAATATACACCTGTTTTATCTATTTCAATCATAATTTACAACAGTGCTGGAAAATACTTTACACAGTGGTCCAATGCTCCCATCATCACTACAAGATATTGGTGAAAAATGAATACAACTCTTGAAGGGAATAAATGTTGTGACATTTCATAAGCTGATCGAAAACGATGCCACAGCAAATGCATGCAGTAATCAAAACTAGAGGCGGTCCAACTTAATATTAGCATGTGTGACTTTTTTTTGGGCAAGCAGTGTAGATCTGCACTGTTATAACAATTACCCACATTCTGCTTACATATCATAAAAAGCAATGACTGGCTGCAATAGGGATGTGTGTCTTATATCGGCTCTTTCTAGACTGTTCACTACAATGATGGTCAGTGTCAACAGCAACCTCTGCAACACTTGATACAATACTGGATCTGTGTTATCTTCACATGTAGACAGACTTACTATGTTTAATTTGCCTGAATAGCCTCTGTAATGGAGCCCTTTCCACCTCCAGGCCCCACAGCAGCATGGTTCTGTCACTGGAATGTTGAATATTTGTATGCTGTTGAAACCCATGTTGAGAGTGAAATAAATCTATTTGAAGTGTATGTTAGGTATGTGATTTAGAAGTAAATGTCTAGAAGACAAAGCTACAAAGAGGTGTAGATACAAGGGGCAAAAGAAAAGTGAACATGTATACTGAACCTCTATAAATGCAGCAACTTCCTGGAGAACCAGATTCCATTCCAACTGATCTTCTGTATTGAAACGGTGTGTATAATCTTCAATTTCATCAGAAAGCTCCTAAAAGAGCAAGAAAAAGCAGAACTGATTTTATAATCGTCCATAGCCTCTCTATTTTAATGAAAGAAAATATGATACTTGTCTAATATCAGGAATTTAAAGAGTCTGTTCAACCTCAAAGTAACACCTTCATCTTAAAGGAGAACTATGGGGTTCTATCTTTTTTTTATGGATGCATTCCTTATGCTAAATAAGTGAATAATGTAATTTACTCTAATTAGCCAAAATGCACAGTAAGGCTGTAAAACCTTATTTTAGGTAGTGGGCGGGGCTAAGCGCCGCAATGAGAAGACATCCCGACGTATCTGACGGGATCCTCCCCACTGATGACTGACAGTGATTCTTGAGAGCTGCTGCGCATCCACGAATATATGGACATGCGCAGCAGCTCTCTCCTTACCTGCACGTCCCCGTGTGCCAGCTCCTTCCCCCATCTCTCTCTCTCCCTGCCGACACTGACATACCGAAAATAATCGTGGATCGCTGATGACAGAGGGGAAGGAGCTCTCTCTCTCTCTTCAGCATTTACTACATATATGGTAAATGTCACTGGAGATCCCTGCTGATCGGATCCGATCCGATAGTTCTCCTTTAAGTTAGATGTTGATAAACTGAAGCAGCATTGTTCTATTTACTAGAGAGTTTACTGAAACTTCCAGCTGTAGCTTGCACAGTTTTGTGCACTGCCTTATAGCAGTCACAGCAATAAAAAAAAAAAAAAATCTGGGAAAAGTGAGTGCATTAAGTGGGCACATTTGGGAACTTAAAGCAGACCTTTTTACTTAAAACCAACAACCCTTTATTTGTTAGTTTCCTGGCAGGATCAACAGGTCATTTTTGTACTTGCTGTAAATGAACTTGACCTGAAAGAACAACACAAATGCAGCCACCTCATCTAAGGACTGGAAATACACTGCAATAAACTAAATTTTTAGAGGGATTAGATAAGGGTTTTAAAGGGTGGACAAACAGTGGACCTGCAGACCTAAATGTGGGGCAAGATGCAGCAGCCTGTACATTTTTACTGTATGCTTAAATTGTAATGACCAGGTTGCTGCACAGTTATTACAACTTGGTTTATTAAATCACACACTGCATTATTGCTAAGTATCCAAAAAAGTCCTGCTAGCCAATACAAACACCAAATTTCATACCACCTTTCTATTTAAGCTGAATGTAAGAGCTACAGCCATAGCCACAGCTTTAGCTTTACAACAAAATATTTACACAACTCTATCCTCTCCTGAGGCTCTGCAAACTCACATGGAAAAGGTCATAAAGATTATACAAACTGTCACAGTTCAGCTGCAAATTTGAAGCTGAGCTATTACTTACAAGTGAAACTCAAATAATTAGAATATCGTGCAAAAGTTCATTTATTTCACTAATACAACTTAAAAGGTGAAACTAATCAGTGGCGGAACTACCGCCAGTGCAGACGGTGCGGGTGCACTGGGAGAGTGGGTCTTATAGGGGGGGAAGGGGAACAAGGGTTTCCCCTGATCTGGGCGTTGTTCATAGAAGGTTTTTAACATAGCATAATATAATATAAAATAAAATATAAAATAAAAGCGAACTGACAGTCATACATATACAGTATACATATATATATATATTTCCCGATTGGAGTTTTTCCATGACAATACCTAAATGTTAAGTTGTTACAAAGCGTTTTGTGTAGGGAGGGGGGGCACACCGCCAGATGGTACAGCAGGTTCCGTGGACATAAGAGCAATGTACTCCTCAGTGGTCTTAAAGTGTAACCACCCTGCCCATGTCGCATAAAAAGAGCTATAGTCATCTTTGTGGGAGTAGTACATTTCTTCCATCAATCTCAGATCGTCTACGCGAGTCAGCCATTCCATTATGGTGGGTATTCGGGACGATCGACAATGTTTTGGGATAAGGGCCTTGGCCGCATTAAGCATGAATGGGATCACAGTCTTTTTATACGAACGGACCGAGAGGGGGTTGAGGTGGAAGAGGCATAGCCACGGATCTAATGGTGTTACGATACTACTGATGGAAGATATGTAGCTGGTGATTTTTCCCCAATACTGCTGTATAGGTGGGCATTCCCACCAAAGGTGGGCAAACGTGCCTATCGAGCCACATTGGCGCCAACACATGGGGGAATTTTCGCTGCACATAGCGTGCAGTGTGGTGGGAACCCGATACCATCTGGCCATGAGCTTAAAATTAACCTCCATCATGTAGCTATCAGGAGACACCGAGGAGCACATTTGTAACAGTTTTGTACATTGAGAAGGCAGTAGGGGATGCCTCAGCTCTTGTTCCCATTTAGCCAGGAAGGGTGGAGGCAATTCTGTTGTGATACTGGCTAGGATCCTATAAGTGACAGAGAGACCGTGGCGTTTGGGTGTGGTAGACCCTAGGATAGTTTCAAAGGGTGTGAAATTTTGGCGTGTACGTAGGGGTCTGCTAAGTGACTGGACAAAATGTTGCAGTTGCCTATGTCTCCAAAAGTCCATGGGGTGTGTGCCCCATTTGTCCCGTAGGGAGGAAAGGGGGCGGAGCTTCGTACCTTGGAGTACATCTTCCAGGCACAGACATTCCGAATCTGTCCAAGTTAGGAAGAGCTTATCCGACTTTCCCAGGGGAAAGTACTCTGAGCCAGTCAGTGGCAATAACATTGAGTTGTAAGGCCACCCCTGCCGTTTATGTAGGCGGTCCCAGGTTGCCAATGTGGCCATGGTGAGTGGTGAGGTCATAGGTGACAAGTTCCTCTCTGAGGGGGGGGTCCATATACTACAGGATAACTTGGAGGCACTCAGGTCGCATTCTAATTGTACCCACCCTTTTTGTGAAGTATGGTATGTCCAGTCTATTAGTCTAGCCAGTTGCACCGCTTTATGATATACTTTAAAGTCGGGTATATTGAGGCCTCCTTTCGTTTTGTGCCTGGTTAAAACAGAGTATGCGATTCTGGGTCTCCTTCGTTGCCATAAGTATTTTGAAAGTAATGAGCGGAGTGTGTCTAGGTAATTCAGTGGTAGGTTAATAGGTAGCATTTGGAAATAAAATAGCACTTTGGGTAATATCATCATTTTAAGGGTGTTCATTCGGCCCATCCAGGACATGGAGTGACAGGTCCAGTTTCACCGAATTAAGCAAGGGAATGTAGTTAGAGGCGTAAGCTGTATGCCTAGGGAGCGCATGTGGTCCTGTCGCCATATAAAAGGAAAGTGAGGGGTTAAGCTGCTACAGTCTGCTTTCTTTACCGTTATATTCAATATCTCGGATTTGCCCATATTAATCTTAAAATTGGTCAATTCCCCGTATGTGTGCAATTCGGACAATATGTGTGGGAGTGAAATCCTGGGGTCCCGTACGTAAAATAAGATGTCATCAGCGTATGCTGCTATTTTGTATTCAGATGTGGGAGAGGGTATGCCATGTATGTTCGGATGGTTACGGATTGTAGCCAGGAAGGGTTCAAGGGAGAGGACAAATAATAATGGTGAGAGGGGGCAACCCTGGCGAGTGCCGTTGTGTAATGTGAAAGGGGATGATAGGGTGCCATTCACTTTCACTCTGGCAGTTGGGGAGGAGTACAACGCAGATATCCACGCCAACATCCGGGGGCCCAGTCCCAGAGCCGACAGTGTGTAGAACATGAATCCCCAGTCAACTCTATCGAACGCCTTTTCGGCGTCCGTAGATAAGAGCAAGACTGGGGATCCCTGCTTGTGCGCCAAATGTATCAAAGACACCAACTTGAGGGCACTGTCTCTGGCCTCTCTCCCTGGGACAAAGCCCACCTGATCCGGGTGCACCCATTGGGGGATAAGCGGGCTGATTCTGGTGGCTAAGATCTTTGCGTAGAGTTTGGTGTCTACATTCATTAATGAGATAGGGCGATAACTAGAACAACACGAGGGATCTTTGCCTGGTTTAGCTAGAAGGGTGATGTGAGCAAGTAGCGATTCAGGGCGCATATGGGTGGAGGTATCTATGGAATTTGCGTATTTACAAAAATAAGGGGCCAGCGTAGTCTGGAAGCGTTTAAAATAGAGAAGGTGGAAGCCGTCTGGACCTGGGCTCTTACCTAATGGGGTGTTTCTGATGGCTTGTTCAAATTCTGTTAATGTGATGGGCGATTCGAGGGCCTTTAGTGTGTCTTCTGGCAACGAAGGTAGGCCCGCATTCTGTAAATAACTAACAATTTTCTCCCGCATAGCTATGTGCGATGATGGTGTGTCAGGAGGGCGGACCCTATATAAGTCCTGATAAAATTCGCAAAAGGCTGCGGCTATGTCCGTTGTACGGTGGGCCATAGAGGCAGATGTTGTCTTAATTTTAGGTATAAACGTGGTGGGGCGTTTTTGGCGTAAGGCACAAGCCAAAAGTTTTCCAGGTTTGTTACCTTGAGTATAGAATTTCTTATTCATCATAGTAAAGGCTCGTTTAGTGTCCGACTCCAGCAGTTCCTTAAGTTGTACTCTTTTATTAGTGAGTGCAAGGTGTGTTGCGGGATCATTTGAAGCTTTGTGACTTAGTTCTAAGGAATGTATTTCCGATAATAATAGTTGCAACTGTGCTATCCGCTCCTTCTTTTTCTTAGAACCTATGGCCACCAGAGCGCCTCTTATCACTGATTTGTGTGCCTCCCAGAGGATAGCTGGGGATGTCGAATCCCTATCATTAGCCTGAAAATAAGTGCTAATGTTGGCAGCTATAGTTGCTTCAACTAGCGGATCCTGAAGGAGCGATTCGTTCAGTCTCCAATTGTAAGTGCGGGAGGGGGCGTTGGCCATAGCCAGGCGTACAGAGACTGGCGCGTGGTCTGATACGGTCATGGGTAGGATTTCTGCAGATTGGACTGATTCGAGGAGGAAATGCTGCATAAAGAGAATATCCAGCCTCGAATACGAGTTGTGGACCGAAGAATAGTGGGAATAGTCCCTTTCCTTCGGGTGTACTATTCTCCACATATTTACCAGTTGCATACGGTGTAGGGCACTGCGTACAGTGTTTAG